TCTACCGCGCTAATTTCTATTTCTATCTTCCACAAGTCCTCAAGCGGAATGTGTGTGATCGTTTCAAACGTTTCGTTTTTCGCTTATATTTCACTCATAGAGTGAAAAATTTAACTCGCTATTCATATTTTTATGTTGTATAGAGATTTTTGGGGTTTGGTTTCTCTTTTTTTTATTTGTTTTGTATATATATTTTTTTGCAAGAAGTTGAATTTCGATTTTTGTTTGGGCGTTGTTCGAAAAGTCACATTTTTATTATATTCTGTTTATTTCATAACCATTATAGTTAGAATAATTTTCATTTATATTTAAAAATACTTGAGTCAAAAGAAAAAATGGCGGTAGTGGCGCTTAAAAGTTAAGTTTTAACACGTTATAAAAGTTTAACCGATTCAACCGTTTTGGCGTTGCGTACGTTCGTATTTACTTTTAACCAATTTTTAACTAAGGTATGCGTATACTTTTTTTTTAAACTAAGTTACAACAACAATAACGAAAAAATGGAAGCACCTTCCAATGACTTTTATTTTTTGTTTTAATTATTTGGTAGTTTGTCCAATTCGTTTATCAAGAATGTGAAAAAGAGCGTTTTGTGTGTAGAGCGTTATGTTTTGTAACAGTAAAAAAATGCAACAAATGTTTTGTCTCAGTCTTTCAAATGGATTTGGGTAGTTCGTTCAATTGAATAGTGGGGAATTTCAAAAAAAAAGCGGGAACTCGGTCGGTCCAATGCAGTCGGGGTCATAAATAATTTAAAGCCAATAAATTTTGTTGTTTTCAATTTGGAATAACCTAAAAAATAACCAAGAAATTTAAATTCTTTTATCAAATAAAATTTCAAATAAAATTTTGTGTTTAAAAATTTTGACAAACAGTTTTGCTTTTTGTCCTTGTACCTGCCTGTTTCATGAGTGCTTGTTTTTTTTTTAATTTCATGTTTTTATGCCTTCCATTAACTGGACCAAATAATTCATATTTCTTTGTTTGGAAACTGTTTCTGTTTGCTGTGAAT